TTGTAATTCATATGTAAGGGTTAGAACACAACTATAAGGATAAAATAAGGCATATTAATGTATATAAAGACTCTAAGAGTGTTATGAATTATTACAATTCATTGAATACATTATGATAACCTTACATTATAAGCTAAAGTATTATACTTAGATTATATAAGTATTATAATCTTAAAAACAGAGTGATATCTGTAATATAATTAAGCAAAAATATTTATTTTTAGTAGATAATTAATACAAAAGGCAAATTAATGTATATAATAATTAAAAACTCTATTTTTAGGGTTCTAATCTTAATAAATATATAGTACTAGTTTGTAATGTGTGTGTTATAGAAGTATAACAGATGTAAATAAAATACAAAGCAAAAGAAAATATTACAAGATCTTTTTAATTACAATTTTTTTAGCTGTCTTGTAACTAATAGTTGCCCCCTTGAAATTGAATTCCTTAAGATAATATTAGTAAAGAAAGACAAGACAAAGGTAAAAAAAACTCACATTATTAACAAAAGGCAGGTGTATAGATCCTACCAATTTCTTCTTCCCAAAACATCTTATTAGAAGGTGTAGGGTATTGTCATTACCTGACTCATGAATACTACCCCTAATAATAATAATAATAATAATGTTAGTAGTAGAAAAAAGTAAAAAATATAAGAACTTACACAATTTTAGCTGTTTTAATACAGCTATAATGATCTGAGAGTGCTTCCCTAAGCACTCCCAGAATTTTATCAGTGCCAGCCTTACAGAACACATGTTTTGTGTCCTTTGTTTTGTATGTGTCTGGATTGGCCCAAAAAACAGAGGGGGGGCAGGTGTAGAGAGTACTGTGTAAGATAAGAAGTAAGTCTGGAGATCTCAGGTCAAATGCAAGTGAGGGAAGGGACTTACTGAAGGTAATTGTGAATGCAAGTTGTTAGGAGTGTGTGTGTGCAACTGTAAAGCAAAAGGAACACAAGCATGTTATCAAAGTCAACATTGAGCAAATTATTGACAGGGGATCAAGAGTTGTTACTGCTTGTTACAGAGCCAAGTCTGAGTGAAAGTGTGTCTGGAGAGTACTGTGTGAGGCTGCAAATGGTACTCAGCAAGTTTATCAAAGTCAACATCAAGCAGATTATTGACAGGGGATTGAGAGTTGTTACTGCTTGTTGCAGAGCCAAGCCTGGGTGAAAGTGTGTTTAGAGAGTACTGTAAGAGACAACAAAGTAAGCAAGATAACAAAGCAAGAGATACAAGCAGTGTGAATGGCCAGAAGACCTTGATGAAGCTGTTGAGTTATACTGTACTGCTTACAAACTTCAACCTAATAGCCATCCTTATTGTTCTGAGTCTCTAAACAACCTTGCAAATTCCATATATGCTTGAATCAGACAGTAGCAGTGTATTAAAGATTACCAACAGACATATGATGCAGCAAATAGAGTATAGTGACAGTAATGAAAGAATCTGTAAAAACAGTAGCAACACATGTAGCACTCTCTATCCTACAAACTGTGAGAAACTGTGTGATAGTGGTGAAGTCGAGGATTGCTCTGAAGAACACTACAGTTAGTGCAAACTGAGTCAAGATGGAGGCATAGATGACACTTGTTAAAAGAAGATTCATTTTGCTCACTGCAAAAGTTGGTAAGATGGTAACAAGGAATCAGCCTAGTAGAATACTCATGGTGCCATATTCAATTAGCAAAAACAGTTGTGCAGATGATCAACAGATTGTCATTTGCTGTGTGTGACCACAAAATTACCTTACATGTAAATGGTGCATCTAATATTCACTACAGGTCTGTATAACTGTCTGATTTGCCTTCCTCATTGTTCTGTTCTTTGCTTTTGAGATCCTCATCATTACTATCAGTCTCCTCCTCCTCTTCCAATACTTTACCATCCATCTTGTTGTTGTTTTGTTCTTGTAGTGTGTCATGTAGTAGGTAGCTATTTAAATGCTACATACTTTTGTGTCTGATTCCTCTGCCTCAATAGTACATGAACATGTCCCTATCAACAAATCTGTAGTAAATTGGACCAAAAATGACTCAGCATTAATATGTTCCAAATTTGAAAGCCTCAACAACATGCTTACATGTTTACAAAGTAAAATTTGTAATCTTTGTTCTTATCTTTGGGTTGGTGAGCAAGGGATGGAGGCAAGAGTGTCTGAACAGTACCCTTGGAGAATTGCAGGATTAGATGAGCACCTTAAAGAATAAGATCCAGGTCAATGAATCCAAAGGCACTAGGATCTGTATGACAATAGAATTGCAATCAAGGGAGTTGTCTCTCAACAAACAAGCTATTCTTATTGACTTTCATCCAGTAAACCTAAGCAAAATTGAGCCAATTAAAGTTTTAGAAGTTAGGGTTGGCCCCTGGACTCATATAGCTGACCTCTGCATGAAAAAGTCCGATTATTCAAGCATAAATGTAGGGATGTTCAGTGTTATCTGATAGTAACATAATATCAGCATGCATCCATGGATTGAGTGAATCTTAGGCTCTCCTGACATTGTAGGTTGTGTAATTAATGTGTAGCACCTTGAGACAGAAAAGCTTGTCATTTTTTATGTAGAGGCTGTATAGCTTGTCTGTGGTGAAGGCCTTGTCTTCCTGTCTTGAGAGAATGTGTTCAAGCAGGTGCCTACAAAGACTTGGCAGGAAATTCTAGCAAGTGTGTAATACATTAGTGCTTGTATATGTGAAATAGAAAGAGGAGATCAATAATGTACTCACTTGTAAAGCTGGGTTGGAATCATTATCTGAAAGCTACTGATAAAGATGGATAGAATCCTTTTTTGATACTGTCATGTTATAATGGACTTCAAGATCCCTTGGCTTGATAGGATCCCCAGATCCATCATTAAGGCTGATACAAGAATTAATCTTATGTATCTTACAGGTCCTACCCTCTAGTTGTGAAACTGCCTTTGTAGTGTCTTGCATGTTTGTCCTAACATACATGTGTTTGAGTCTCCTATACTGAGACTCCCCCTGTGAAGATACACAATTGAGATAAGTATGGAGAGTGTATTGTGAAGTAGACACTTAACAATTTGTGTACTGTATAAATCAGTCATACTGAATTGACAAATGACAGAAGCATATACACTAAGAGAATAAAATTTCAGTATATTAATGTTGAGTGTTTTAGTTTTCACACTATATCTGATTGTTTTTGTGTCTAGTCCCTTTACCTTACCCTTATTAAGTAGGGCAGCTTGACAATGTCCTTGAGTAGCAATCTCCTTTGAGAGTTTGTGTGTATTGTAGGCCAAGCATACAGTCTTCTTAAAGTATTGTACCTGGTATCCTAGCAATGTTGTTATCTCCTCAAGGAACCAAACTGTAGTCTCTGTATGAATGTAGAGCTTTGCAAGTGCATGCCAGGTTACTAAGATGAATAAAAGGTTAAGGACCACTTTATTATATTTCTTTAACAGTAAATCCTTGAAGGCCAGTATGACACACTAGGTAATACACATCCTATTATAGTGCATATATATTAATAGTCTTGAGGGAGGCACTTACCTGTAGAATATCTTCAAAGTCTCTGGCTACAATTTTTTTCATTATAGACATATTTCTAGAAAATTGCCAGATTGTATCTATTCCAAATGTAGGAGTATGGTAATACCTAAAATATAATGAATATATCTAAATAGATGACAGTAAGGCAATTAATGAGGCTGTAACATAGATGCTTACCTCCTATTAAGTATTAGTATGCTCTCTCCTCCCTGTACAAAAAGAATGTGTAAGAGGTAGGTAAATATTGCTTTCCAGACCCCCAGCTCAAATTTGTGCATAGGGTCTGGGACAAATAAGTCAAAGAAATTGAATCCATGCTTGCAAAGCACAGAAAAAGCATTCTATAAAAATAAGATAAGTGAGTAATGAGGAGCATTGCCTAGATAGCAACAGTTTACTTACATTAACTAGTATGAGGGATCTGTCCTTAAGGAGATTTTTTATCCAGGTGGATTCTACAGGCTTCCCTAATTGAAAAATCCACTGTTGTGCTCTAGAAATCTTCTCTTACTGTACTGTATCATCAATACATTTGCAAGTTTGTCTTTGTTGATTGGCTCTGGTACTAAGCATATGGTTGAATTTGGTTAGCATAATATCTGTAAGGCTTGAGAATTTGCCTAAAACACACAAGCTAGTAATGAGCATCCTGTAACAATGTTTAGTTATCCTTACATAAATTGAGGTGAAGATTGTAGCACATACAAACAAGAAGATAGCAAATAGATACAAGATGTACTTCTCAGGGTAGTCTGCTGAGTAAAAAGCAAACCTTAGGAAGAGCCTGTGTAATTTTCCATCCAAGCAGTTAAATAGAATACTAGAGCTATATGCCTTAAGAATTTCAGGCTGTAAGAGGATATGGGACAAGACAGCTTGAAATAGTTTGTGCTTTAAGTGAGTGAGGAGTTCCAAAGATGTAGATTGTCTATAAACCTCATTATATGTATCTTAAACTGATGCTAGAAGCTTTATCAATGTAAATACTGTATGTTAGGACATGTATCACAAAGAACAGTAGAAATATAGAAGGAATGTACTTACTAAAGGAATATATGCTAGATGATGACAAGCTGTCTATAAAGATTTACAACACATGTACTTAGATTGGCCTCCAAAGTACATGTATATTGGCTAAAGTGATACAGAACTGAAATTTGTAAGATGTATTGAGTCTGAATAGAGAATAAGAGGAAGTACAAAGTTTTCAGTACTGTCTTGCATTAGAAAGCTTTGTACTTCTTTGTAGGCTTCCAACCAATAATCCAAGTGTAAGATATACTCACTTTACTAGTCCTAATCCTTAGGAATAGTAACAGAATAGAGTATAGAGGGTAAGACTTGTAGACTTGTAGGGTGAGAGGGTAGAGGAGTCCTACTTTAGTCAAGCTGCAAGTGTAGCCTAGTAGGTTGGTAGTAGAGTACTTCCAAGTACTAGGTAACTTAAGTTGATAAAACTATCTTTTAAGGGCTAAACTGGCCTCCTTATATACTTTTTGTTAGAGTAATGTTACTCTAGTAACTTTAGTAACTCCCTTTACTATTGTTCCTATGAAGTGGAGCTGGCTAATCCTTTAGACTGTATGCTACACTGGTTTGTGTCTTCTATTAATCTGCTGACACTGGTTTGTGTCTTCTTGTATTCTAGATTAATCTTCTAATGACTCCTTTACTGTATTGTTATGTCTTCTATACTTCCTCTCATACTTCTAATGACTCCTTATGAGTCCTCCTAACTAGTTATACTGTGTAAGCTGTGTAATACTTTTCCTATGAAGTGGAGCTCTCTATTATTCTTATGACTCTGTCTGACTCAACCTGTACTTCCTGTACACTAGTTTGTAATACACTTTCTCATGAGGTAGAGTATTATGACTTCTAATGACTCCTTATGTCTTCTGTAATATAAAAGGCTGTGCTTCTGTACTACCCCTA